ATTAAATAATAAACGAAAGGAAGAGGTGATTGTATTACAGGATGAATCTACTAAAACCAAATTGTCGAGACAGGCCCGTATACGTAAAAATAAAAAACTTAGGCGCGAGCAGAAACAAACCGAGATGCTTCGTAGCCCGAATGATGATATTCTTCCAGTAATTGATGATATTATCTTTGATCCATCTCGGGTATGGTGAAGGGGACTCATTCATTCTACAAAAATTTGCAATCTTTCGGAAAAAAAAATGCTCATGTCCATTATTTTATTTTACTAGCATAGAATCCAATCTGCTACCCGAAAATTGTCTGCTATTGACAATATTTATTACTTGGAAAGGGAATGGAGAAGCGTTCCTCTCTGTCCTTCTGATAGAATATCTTCTAAAAAAATTAGGACCCAACATAATATATCAGCTAAAGACTTACTTATTGAAACGTTACTGAGAGAGGCATCTACTAGCAATAATTCTATTGACTTACCCGAAATTCCTCCGGACTTTTTATCTCTAGTTTATAGTGATATTATTAAGGAAAAGAATGATGTTAAAGAACCATTGGACATTGATACTAATAACAAACGATTGTGGATTGCTTTCGGGCGGTGGTTAGGTTTAAAGAGATCAAAAGGACCGCTAAGAAGGAAGCATGTGCGAGAACACCTCAGACTATTATGGAAAAAACTCCAGCATGCTTATGTTGAGTTGCAAAATTTCTTCGATACGGCTACTATACGTAAAAGTCGAAAAGAAAAAACACAGCTTATCGTATCAGCACGAAATAATAACAAATCGCTAGATAAGCTAGTTCAACTTGAATATATTTTTGAACCTAAGTGCATTACAGACTTGGGTCACCGAACATTAATTCACTTGGAGCAACTCGATGATCCAGATGCTGTTACAACCGCATCTAATATTGTAAATTGGTACTATTTCCATTTATTAGAAAATCCTTCACACCGAAGTAAAGAATTTTGGACCAATTTTATTGAGCATTTTGGAGCTTATACAAGAAACAATTTACTTCCCTTCACAAGCTCTAACACTGCGAGTACACATAATATTAATCATCATGAATGCGTCAGTAAATTACTTCGGGGCCTTAGGAAATTATCAGAAAGTATCAATCGGTTTCTTCAAGAATATTATGTGGATTTATATACAAAATTGAGTAAATTATCATGGGGCCCATTCGCTCCAAGAGCATTTGGAGTTTTTCCAATGATAGCCATCAACTTTAATACCATTAGTGACTATCATTAGGATGATCATGATGAACCAAATAGTCTGTGTGTTTTAGTCGCACTGGGGGATTTCGAAGGAGGAGAATTTGTTTTCCTCAACTTCAAGTAGTTGTACATCTTTAGCCAGGACAAGTAGTGGCATTTGCATCCCGTCTATTGCTCCATGGTAATTTTACAGTTACAAAAGGCATCTGGATAGTATTGTGTTCTTTGTGCACGATACATTCTTTCATAATTTACGGGATTTTGATCCTACTTATCTTGAGGCTAGAATTGAGAAAGCTAATGGACCA